ATATATATATATTAACAACCATGTAAATAATCATAAAATCGAATAAAAGAACTATTTCGTGCTAGAAGATTTGTGGTTGTAGAGTAATGAATTATCTATCATCTTAGTGTTGCACGAAAAATCAACACACAATCAGTTAGTGGAAGAGTAGTAAGCACGAGGAGACACCTTAACTTTTTATGTGGAAAACTATTGAAAAGGAAAAAAACCACGGGTGAAAAGTACATAGGTCAACTCTTTTCCTTAATTAGAGAAGATGAAATGACAAAGTTTTGTAGCCGTAATCTGGCTATAGTTCTTGGATAGTTATGGAGGTATAGTCTGTTGTGAGTGTTTTAGATGGTACTTGTAGCACCAGCTTATCAGAGAAGTTGTAATTAATAACCATGACATTATTTGGTCGGGTAGGCTGTATATGGTTACTCGAGGAGCGTTGATTGCCCATAGAAGCCGTAGGAGGCAGTTATAGGAGTTGTGGACCACACATGATGTAGTTGGTCACATAGGTCATAGTGGTGAGTAGTTGTCACATCCGTATACTGTGCAAGCCAAATTCAGGAGCTGCAATAATTGTGGACCACATAAGACGTAGTTGGTCACATAGGCCATAGTGGCGAGTAGTAATGACATTCATAGGCCTTGAGGGCTGGAGTCAAGATAGGAATTGGGGACCACGTAGGTCGTAGTTAGTCACATATGTCATAGTGACAAGTAATAATGACATCCGTAGGCCGCGGGGGTCGGAGTCAGGAGCTGCACGAGCTGTGGACCACGTTGGTTGTATTTGGTCACGTAGATTGTAGTGGTGAGTAGTAATGATGTCGGTAGACTGTGGGCACCAGAGCCGAGAGCTATAGGAGGTGCGTGCGGATCATGTAGGTCTTTCCCGGTCACAAAGGGCGTAGCAGTGAGTTGCAATGACATTCATAGGCCTTGAGGGTCGAAGTCGGGAGTTGCATGGGCGTGTGGGGTAACTCATTATACCATCTTCAGAATGCAATGTTGCGTTGACTTTGGGGTGGCATCTAGGTTTTTTAGATGATGTGTTGCGTTGGATGCTACTTCTTGATTCTGCAATGTCAATTTTCGCTCCGCACGATACTTCGTGGAAAGAAGTGGGCAATTGCTGATGATGAACGGTGGTGACTAGCGAGTAGTGATCGGCAACGAAGTGACGCGAGACTTTTGATCCTTCTCCAAGCATTAATTTCTTCCTCAGACTTCAAACTCCACCATCCTCATGAGAGGGGTGAGGTTCTATTTATAGAGTTATGGATGCTATTAATGCATAAATACGAACCATTTTGATCAGACGGCTCAAAGAGTTTCCCTTGATCAAACGATGTTTAATGGACATTTGAGTGTCTTAACGATGTTAGAATTGAACAAACTTGGGTTCATTGAATTCATATAGTTGAGACGCTTGATTTGACT